ATCATCTGAAACCATCTATCAGAGTGACGCAATAGAAGCATGGTGGGCTCATAACCCACAGGTCCTAGGATCGAAACCTGGCTCTGATACCAAATTGACACAACCCAACCCAGAATGTCCACCTGGACATCAAATTGAGCTGTGCTGGCCGACACCCGGAGGGTGACGAAGCCATAAAGTGTAGTGATATGGAAAATGTGAATAAATTTAAACCTAAAAGTGCCTAAATACATGATTGCGCTGGTGAGCGGGAATGAATCCATTTCACATGTGATGTCAGAACATAAGTAAAGTACAGTAAAATAGGATGATAATTATACCATTGAAGGTGATCTCTAATACCAATATTTGCTAAGAATCCTCATAGATACGAAAACTCAGCTACTAAAACCTGGAGGGGTGAAAAACAAGGGTGAGTGGGCCTAAAAATAAAGTTTTGTAAAAGCCTTTTCGAAAACATAATAACCTCTTGCTATAAAACAAGTATAGTTTCCAAAATATACATACTACGTATAGTAAGAAAATACTTACTATAGCCTGCAATACCTTAAGAATTCATTATGGCATAATATCTCGTAAATAAGCACATGACAACCATAATCACAAAATCTCGCATAAACAAACATATTATATTGAGTGCTCATCGACACATGCTGATGCACAAGTTCATGCAGAGATATTCTGACATGAACAGGACTGGGTGTAACAATGATATACGCTCTAGTACTACAATCACATGAAGACGAGCGTTATGCGCAGTGCATAAGAGCTGGAGTTACCTATGGCAACTATACAAGTCGTTATACCTACGGCCAGTAGAAGTCCCCAAAGTAGTAAGTATTTTTCCCTAGATTCATCTAAAACCATCTATCAGAGTGGCGCAGTAGAAGCATGGTGGGCCCATAACCCACAGCTCCCAGGATCGAAACCTGGCTCTGATACCAAACTGACACACCCTGACCTAGAATGTCCACCTGGACATCAAATTGAGTTGTGCTGGCGGTGACGAAGCCATCAAGTATGGTCACATGGAAAATGTGAATAAATTTAAACCTAAAAGTGCCTAAATTCAAGAGTGCGCTGGTGAACGGGAATAAACCCATTTCACACGTGATGTCATAGCATAAGTAAAGTACAGTAAACTAAGATGAGAATTATACCATTGAAGGTGATCTCCAATACCAATATTTGCCAAGAATCCTCGTTGATACGAAAGCTCAGCTACTAAAACTTGGAGGGGCGAAACAAGGGTGAGTGGGCCTAAAAATAAAGTTTTGTAAAAGCCTTTTTGAAAACATAATAACCCCTCGCTATAAAACAAGTATAGTTTCCAAAATATACATACTACGTATAGTAAGAAAATACTTACTGTAGCCTGCAATACCTCAAGAATTCATTACGGCATAATATATCGTAAATAAGTGCATGACGACCATAATCACAAAATCTCGCATCAACAAACGTATTATATCGAGTGCTCATCGACACATGCTAACACACGAGTTCATGCAGAGGTATTCTGACATGAACATGACTGGTGTAATAATGATATATGCTCTAGTACTACAATCATGTGAAGACTGGCACTATGCGCAACGCATACGAGTCAGAGTTGCCTATGGCAACTTGTACAAGTCGTTATACATACGGTCAGTAAAAGTCCCCGAAGTAGTAAGTATTTTTTGCTAGAATCATTTGAAACCATCTATTAGAGTGGTGCAGCGCAATCATGGTGGGCCCATCACCCACAGGTCCCAGTATCGAAACCTAGCTCTGATACCAAACTAACACACCTCGACCTATAATGTCTACCTGGACAACGAATCGAGATGTGCTGGCCGACACTCGAAGGGGGAAGAAGCCATAAAGTGTGGTCATGTGGAAAATGTGAATAAATTTAAACCTAAAAGTGCCTAAATACAAGAGTGCACTGGTGAACAGGAATGAACCCATTTCACATGTGATGTCATAGCATAAGTAAAGTACAGTAAAGTAGGATGATAATTATATTATTGATTTTTGCCAAGAATCCTCGTCGATACAAAAACTCAACTACTAAAACTTGGAAGGGTGAAAAACAAGGGTGAGTGGGCCTAAAAATAAAATTTTGTAAATACCTTTTCAAAAACATAATAACCCCTCGCTGTAAAACAAGTATAGTTTCTAAAATATACATACTACATATAGTAAGAAAATACTTACTGTAGCCTGCAATACCTCAAGAATTCATCACGGCACAATATCTCGTAAATAAGCGCATGACGACCATAATCACAAAATTTTGCATAAGCAAACATATTATATTGAGTGCTCATCGACACATGCTGAGACACGGGTTCATGCAGAGGTATTCTGACATGAACATGATTGGGTGTAACAATGATATACGCTCTAATACTATAATCACGTGAAGACCGGTGCTATGCGCAGTACATACGAGTCGAAGTTGCCTATGGCAACCTGTACAATAGGACTAGCACCTACAATGGACCCAAAGTGAGCGTACAATGCGATGTGCGCATACACATGAAAGACTGGCCCGGACCTATGCAAGTACCAACACCGGTGCAGCAAACGATGAGCAAATAACATCAATTTAGTCATGCCATAGTAATTCGATAATTCTAGTCAATATAATAGTAATAAATATGATATTACTCATGGTTGTAATTAAAACTCCATATCAGTATGCATACATGTGCATCCCGTAGGATTTATGATATTTTCGTAACTTTCTGTTATTTTGCAAATTCTTATAAGCATTAGTCTAATCTAGGCATGCATAGGAAATTCTTTTTCAAATGTATAAATGGAAACTAAATAAATATATATAATATGTAGAAGCAAAGACCCACTCACAGATCATGTCGTTGAGTCGAACCCATTCGAACTAGAATAGCCGAAGTCACCGATAATAATCGCACATAAGCATAATATTAGGACCCATTAGTAAAACTCCACTAAAATGATTAAATTTGGGAAAACGGAGTGCAAATTTGAAATCAGGGTGTCGAAATACGCTAAGGAGGGTCCCTGACATATTTTACAAAAAGTCAAAGGTTAACCCTAAAAGTCAATTGAGACACCCCAGTGGTTAACTACGTTAAAACTTCGGGATTTCACTAAATGGATGTGAAAAACGGACTCAGGACGTCAAAATTAATCTATGAGGGTTTCCGAGACATTTCCGAAAAGCCAACATAAGAAATATCCCAAGAATATTCCAGAGAATATCCCAAGAATATTTCAAAGAATATTCTTAGATTATTCTGAGCCCAATTAGGTAAATGGGCCAATTGGACCTTGGGTTAAAGGGTCATGGGGCAATGGCCTAAAATTCAGGGCCCCCTTTTCCTTTTTTTTTTTTTTTTTCCATCTTCTTCTCCTGCTGGTTGCCACTGCAACCGCCAGATTCCACTCAGTTCCGACCACACCAAAACTTAACTAAACCTAGCCTTCCAATATATCAAAACAAAGCTCAGAGAACAAGGAATCGAAATATACCTTTGACTTCCTCTACCATGGTCGGAGGTGGTCGAAAAACAGCTTGAAGTCGTTGAGCTCTTGCTGGAAAATCTGGAAAAGTACACCTGAGGTGTTTTGTCGTCGAAACTTGAGATATCACCGAATTCCGTTGGTGTTCATATGCAGCCAGCACAAAGGAAGAAAGAGAGATGGGAGTTTGTGATGAGGGAGAAGGGACAATGTAGTGATGATGATGATGGCTGGTGGTGGAAGAGTTCGCCAGAGTGGCGACCGAGATGGTGCCTCAGGTCTCGACGTACTTGTTTTGCAGAGGGAGGAGAGAGTTAGAGAAAGACGTAGAAATGAAAGGTGGAGAGGCATGAGAGCCTGAGGGAGAGAGAGTTTGCCAGGTGTCAAGAGAAGGGTGGAGAATTTATGTGAGTGTGGACCCCATGGGCCAGAAAATTTATAAAATATTTAAAATATCCACTCAAAAATATTAAAATAATAAATTATCCAAAAATTCAAATTTTATAAAACACCCTCAAATTTCGTAATTCTACAAAATCTTTATCGCAGCTTCAAATTTGATTATGCTTGCGTCTACGCGTTCGTACCGTCGAGTACTTCGAGAATACGATAAAAGAATATTTCGTAGGTCGCAATATACGCTGGTCAACGAAAGTCAAAGCCCTCGTCTCTAGGGACATTTTCGTCAAATCATTCATTTAAAATTTATAAAATCGTAAAATTAGGGACGGGCTGTCACAGTCAGTTGGCATAACTGTCGAGTTTTACTTATTTTCCATGCAGGTTCAGATTTCTCATACTTTTAGAGAGGGTAACCACGTTGCTAATTGTTTGGCCAATTATGGTTTTGATCACCCCGGTGTCCATTGGTGGGATTCATGACCTCCTTATGCTGCAGCTGCTTATTCTCACAACCTTTCTAAGCTCCCTTGTTATAGGTTTTGCTAATAGAGGTTTTGACTTGTTGTTATGAATTCTTTAATGGTCCAAGTTTGGCCTCATGTTCCCCTTGACATATTGTATTTTTCTTGTTTATCAATAAATCCTCCTCAAAGTCACTTCCTATGATAACAATTTTGGAGTGGAATGGACTTTGGGCCAAATTTGAAATAAAATAAAATAAAATTTAGTTTGCAAATTTAGTCTACCTAGCATTACTTTTCTTTATTATTTATGCAATTAAAATGTAATGAGTAAGATTTTGAATTGTAAGCAAGCTATGATTGTCTACCATTTAAGTAGATTAAAAGCAGAAATAATTAGTGGTTAATTATATAAGAAAAACCGTAGACATTAGACAATGTTCACTATTCAATGAAAAATTACAAATACTATTTGACAGCCAAACATATCATTCAATTCAGTAAATGTTGGTCATTTGAATTCGTAACGGTCTACTACATGACAGGTATTTTAAGGTTGAATTCTGCTGCCATTTAGCTCTTGCTTGCTCTCTTAACTCTTGGGTTCTCCTTCCTCCGTAAACGTGCTTAAACTAGCAGGACATGGCTCAAGGCTGTTGTGGCGGTGGTAACAATAACAACGGAGGTAGTAATGGTGGTGGTGGAAATGGTAGTGGGAATGGTGGGAGTGGTGGTTGCAATGGTGGAAATGGTGGTGGCAACAACAACAACAAAACCGAGGAGTTACAACCACACCCACTGAAAGAGCAATTACCAGGCGTCCAGTATTGTGTTAACAGCCCGCCACCATGGCGTATGCATTCCCCCTTACCCTTTTTCTCAAATATAAATTACTAAATGTTTCATGTTCATTTTTGGGATTCCGTTATACTCCATGTTTACCATTACTAAACAACATATAATATATCTTCCGTCGTTGTGCAGCTGAAGCAATCATGCTGGGTTTCCAGCACTACCTATTGACTCTTGGGATTACTGTCCTAATTCCAAGTATGCTTGTCCCCAAAATGGGTGGAGGAAATGTAAGGATTTAATACTTGCTTGCCAACTTTTATGACTCTCTTTTATTTTTTGTGCTTGCATTCTTTTGATTAACTTCACTCCCCTTTTGTCACAGATTGAGAAGGCTAGGGTGATACAAACCATGCTCTTTGTTTCGGGGTTCAACACGCTCTTCCAGTCTCTATTTGGAACCCGACTTCCTACTGTGGTAACGGCTTCATATACATATGTAATCCCCACAACATCCATACTCCTAGCCAGTAGATACAAGGATTATTCAGATCCTCATGAGGTCAGGCTTAATTGGTTGAAGAATAATTTCTACTACCTAGGGATTTCACTTTTTTTTCTTTTTTTTTTTCTGTACGAATCTAATTTTTTTTTTATTTGGCCTTATGAATGAATCTTTCAGAAGTTTTTGGACACTATGAGAGGTATACAAGGTGCCTTAATCATTACCGCCAGTTTCCAGATGATCATCGGCTTCCTAGGCTTGTGGAGAAATGCAATAAGGTGAAGTTATTTTGAACTGAAGGTCTGGTTTCTTGGATGGCAAGAAATCGTTTAAAATTCTCAGATTATTAGTACTAGTGATAGTTGATACTTTGTGAGTTGTGGCCAAGACTTCTTATTTTACTTGATTCAGGTGCCTTAGCCCTCTTTCTGTTGTCCCATACATAACTTTTACTGGACTAGGAGTTTATCGTCTCGGTTTCCCTACGGTAAAGAGTTCTTGATCGATCCCTCATTCTTTTCTCATACTTTTGCTTCCCCACTTCCTTGCTCCCAATCCACTTAAAACTACATTCAAGTATGGAAATTCATGAAGTAAACATTGATTCATGAATAGCTTCATCATCCTAATCTGGTGTTTTGTATTATGACAATTGTGTTTCGGTTACTCTTCACCATTAAATTTGATAGGCAGTGCATTCACTATCCACCTCTCGTTTCCTTTTCTTCTAGTTGGCCAGATGTGTTGAACTCGGGGTTCCAGAGTTGATCGTCATGGTTTTCATTGCACAGGTAAATATTGATCAATTATAATTAGTTATTACCTCTGTCTACCCCAGATAACGAACAGTGTATGATATCGAATGAGAGTTGTTTCCGTTAGTTTTCTCATGGAAATAGGTAATGTTATATATGATTAAATGTTTTGCAGTATCTTCCTCATATTTTAAATACCAAGAAGAAAATATGCGACAGATTTGCAGTGTTGTTCTCCATCCCAATTGTATGGTTGTTTGCACAACTTCTAACCTCAAGTGGTGCATATAATAACAAACCTACAACAACTCAACTGAGTTGCCGCACTGATCGTTCTGGCCTTGTTGGTGCAGCTCCCTGGTCAGTCTCGATATGCAAATCTGTAATTCTGTATTAATTCCTGTTGACTCTCAAGTACATTGACAACAGTGAACTTCTTGTCCTTTTTCTGTGTAAATATGCAGGATATACATTCCATATCCATTTCAATGGGGAAGCCCTACTTTTAATGTAGGAGAAGCTCTTGCAATGATTGCTGCTTCTTTCGTTTCAACCTTTGAGGTCCATTCCTTTTCCCTAAAGTCATTTAGAAATGCGTGTAGTGCAGTAATAATTCAAACTAGATTCATGTTAAAACTTCTACACTCGTACTGTTGCATTAACTTCATTTCACAATTAGCACCGGGTTTGCTTAGAGAACATGTCAATACAAATTATATTTATATTGATAGTGTACCTGCAATGTTTACAGTCGACTGGTACATTTTTCACTACAGCAAGATACGGGAGTGCCACACCTGTACCACCTTCTGTTGTTAGCCGTGGAGTTGGCTGGTTGGTAAGACATCGTTGCCTGTTGCCTTTTTACTTCAGAATTGTAAATTTTTCATTATAGGTGCTTTTGCTGCTTTGTTCAGTATCCGACTTTGATATGTTTTTCTGGCTTTCAGGGTATAGGAGTTCTATTTGACGGGATGTTTGGTTCCCTAACTGGTTCTGCAGCATCAGTGTAATGAACTCACACTAATCTCTGTTTGCCAAAAAAAATGTCTTGTTTCAGACGCTTTCTTCTTATTACATCCTTCTGATTTCGGTGTAGTGAGAATGCTGGCCTATTAGCATTGACAAAAGTTGGAAGCCGTAGAGTCATCCAAATTTCAGCTGGCTTCATGATTTTCTTCTCAGTATTTGGTATGCAGACGATTTTACTTACAACCTAGTTTCGTGTTGATTATTGTACTTGAAATGTGTTAAACAAGTATCTCATGTTGCCAAGATGGTGTTCTTAACCAGGAAAATTTGGAGCCCTATTTGCTTCTATTCCAACACCAATCATAGCAGCTATTTACTGCGTCTTATATGGCTATGTCTGTATGTATCTCTGTTTCCTCAGACATCTGCTCCTTATATTGACATTTGCAATATGATGATTTCACAGAACATGCATTATGATGATTTTGAATCCACGTCCTTAGTAAAGATTAAAATATCGCTCGAATAAAAGATAACTAAGTGCGATAGTTGCTGGACAAACTGCAACAAAAACAGAAGATGCTAGCAATGCCTCATATTTAACAGTCGCCTACAATGTCCTTTTGCAGCTGCTGCAGGGCTTGGCTTTCTTCAGTTTTGTAACCTGAACAGTTTTAGAACAAAATTTATACTGGGGTTCTCTTTCTTCTTGGGGATTTCTATCCCACAATACTTCAGAGAATATTATCACAAAGGCGCCGAAAGCAGTTCTGGATGGGTGAGAATATTTTTCGACTAGTCTATTAATGTTTGTGTCTTGCTTCCATTAGAATGTTACTGTTGGCCTTATCAAATCTTGTTCAATTACTTTCAGTTCGACGATTTAGTTACTGTGATCTTCATGTCTCACACGACGGTAGCTGCAATTGTAGCAATGGTCTTGGATTGTTCACTGGCCCGGGAAGACAATGCATCTCGAAAAGACAGTGGTTTGTACTGGTGGGAGAAGTTTAGCTTGTATGGTTCAGATATTAGGAATGACGAGTTCTATGCATTACCATGCAGATTGAACAAGTTTTTCCCGGCCCTTTGAATTCATGTATAAAATTTGTCCGAGTGCTGTGCTATGTGGTTAAGTGGTTGAAATTTGTAATTCACAACTGTCTTGACAAAAAAGAAAAAGAGAAACTCCTACCGGTGAACCTTAACTTGTTATTTCTTCAGCCAGTAACAGAGTTTGATGAAAATCTTTCCTGTACTAATCTGAGCAATGCATAAACATACACAGGCAGACATGCAAAGAGAAGGATGCGTAATTGTTTGGACCCAATTTTACACCATCGGCCCAAGTAATCGAGGCCGTTGAATGAGCATGGTTCTTAACCATCGGATGAGAAAGTTAAGATAATTTGCTATTGTTAAGAGATAATATTATGGTTTTTAATCATAATAATTATCATTCAATAAATTATCTCGATTTTCTTGTACAAAATAAATGGGATAAAAGTCATAGCCCCAACGAAGAGACAGGCGAAACAGTCCGATTTAATTTGGATTTGTTAGCAGTGTACCATGTGGATTAGAGCAACTCGGCTTGGATTCTTATCACGTGGCATATCATGGGATTTGCAAGGCTTGGATAATGGTGAGATAGGAGACCTAAATAGGCTGGGTTATTTGTGGATGTTGTCAGATGAATTGAATTGATGATGGACTTGGCCTGCATGCCGTGTGAAAGGCTACCAGCTATATATAATTGGTGGCTGTTTAGATGAACGTTATTTGTTCAATTCCAAGCATGCAGGTTATCTTGGGATTCGATGTGATAAGACTAAACACAAGGATCAAATTTGGTTGCATTTTTTACTAAGTTCAGAGTCTTGGGAGTAGTAAGGCTTATCCGAGGCTCAAGTCAGTGGAAGAGTTTTAATGGCTTAGGAGTCTTTATCAGCTTATCAACCAGTGCATACTCGTCCCTATAAATACAAGACACCGTGCAACATTTTAGGCTCTCTCCAATTCAACACACAAATTGCCCTGCTCAAACCTTCGCTCTACGCGAAACCTCTCAACGACCTTGAGATTTTTATTTTCATTTTCGCCAACACATCTTCAGTTTGGATAAACAACATTGTGAAGGCAACCGGCGAACATCTTCAGTTTGGATAAACAACATTGTTGTCGTAGAATCAGCCGACCGCGAAGCACCTTCAGTTTGGATAAACAGCACTGCGACGAGGCTGACTGGTTATCTATCCAAGTCTCGGTCGAGAAGGATTTTCAAATCCTTATTGGCAGAGGTCATCTCATCAGTCTTCTTGGTGAAGTGAGGTGTTACCAGGTTACTACATTCAGCACCCTGTGAGCTGAATTTGATATTGAACTTCGCAGAACTAGCAGCCTTGTCTTTAGGCTCTAGAACCAGAAGGCTGAGACGTGTTCCTACCTCGGCCGCAGTCGCGAGATTCAGAAGTTAGCAGCCCTCCCAACGCAACATCAACAAATTTTACTCACCGGCCAAGCTCAGCCGTCTAGTTGGCATGCCCTGCACACAACCGAATGACGTAGTTAGCTCATTAGTTACTCGGTCTGCGCGTCACGTAGACTTGGTGGTTTTTAGAGTCAACAGTAATTCCAAGAACCTTGTGACAACAGGTTGATATTGTCAAGAGAGTCCTGAGAATCATACGAGCAGAGATGATGAAAAGATGTGTCTGACACCTACGATGTTGTGATTCACACACACCTTTTTTGGTCACTGTGTTTATGCTAGAATCTATTGAGTGATTTTCCATCCCCTTGTTTAAAAAAAATACACAACGCGAACAAAGGCTATGATGACAACATTGACAAGTCTCAAGAAATAGTAAAAGCCCAGAACCAGGTTCTTATAATCGTATAGGAAAGAATATTATGAGTTTTTTATGAGTAACAATTTCATTACATGAATGAAAAATAAAAAAGCAGTATAGCTTGGCGATGCAGTATACCTTGTTGATGCATTGGATGCTTGTAACCTGATAAGCTCCAATACTGTTTTGCCTTGAAAAGTGTAGAGCATGTAGCGCTAGAAAAATGTTGCAATAGCACCGGCCTGGGGTACTCACATAAACCTGTGTCGGAATTCCGTGTCTGCCGTTCAGTTGTTGGCATTGAGTTAGAACTTGAAGTAGTGCAACCTTATTATCCGTTTGTGCATGAGTTCCTGCTCCAAGAGTTTGTAAAATTTGTCTCACTGACCAAATACAGCTTCCCATCATCCAGTCCGCATCAAGAATTTTATCTGCATCTTCTGTTACGATTATACCGGAACCACACGGTAAAAATTCTAGTTGCTCACTTGCTCCCCTGCTGCTCTGATAAGCTCTCCAATGGTAGTCGGGACCCATAAGATGGTTCCAGGGTCCTCTTACGTCTTCTTTCCCATGGGTGGATAAAGTGTACCGTGCTCGTGTAGGGGTAAATATTATAATTTGTAAAATAGGTGGGGGGTATATGTGCTATTTAAACATTTCTTTAAATGAGCAATGATTATTATGTTTTGAAAAAAGAAGCACTTTTTTTAGAAACATGGTAGATTCTCCTTTTGCTTTTCTGTACTATTCTACTGTCAATTGACAACAGTTAAAAAAAAAAAGTTTTTTTGTTTTACCAAACACCTTTGATGTTCTGGATTTTTGGATAAGCTGTTTTTTTTAGTATCACAATCCCAAACCAACCTTAAGGCCCATCTGGAAAATAGGCAACTCGATCCCCTTAAATGAATAGTAACTACCTGTAGGCCATGCCACTCCAGGGCAACGGTAACTAAGTGGGCTGCCACATGGGCCCTACCTCTTGAAACATTGTCGGAGACACACCCCACGTGCGCGTAAACAACGCAAAATACTTTTATAACTTAGCTAACTTCAGCCTTGCATCACATCCACTCAAGTGTTCGGGCCATAAACTTTCACCTGACTTCTTCCTCGGGTTTGCCTTGAGCCCAATTGCCCGACTGAGCTGGAGTGTTTTGGGGTTGGGGGTGGGCAATGGATTTCATTGCCCAGCAATAGGGCAATTGCCTACGGTGGAGTTGCTCTTCGCAAACAATGTTTCAACTTTCAAGTGACAAAACATGAGATAAATCGGTTACTAGAAAAGATGATTAATCACTAATCTGAATCCATCATTTGGCTCGACAATAGAGCAGTAAGAATACTAGACCGTAGTATTAATCCGGCGAGGAAATGGGAGGAATGGTCCCTTAACTATCCTAGAATTGTAGCTTTAGTCCCTAAACTAAAAAATTATTATATTTGGTCCTTGAACTTGATAAGATGTGGAGCGTTAGTCCTTCATTACCAATTCCGTTAAGTTTTAGTTAAAAGTGTTTACGTGTTAGTTTCACCTATATATAATAGAAAAGATGAAAATTACAACAAAAATTGCAAGCCTACCTCATCCACCAACACTCGCAGCCCACCCCTTCAACTTCAATCTTTGATACACTTCCCGCCAACCTCCCACTTCCAACCCCCAATCGTTAATCCCCACTCCCTAGCCAACCCCAACCTGTAGCCCACGAAGTACATCCTTCACCAAACCCCGAACCCGCATCCCACAAAATTCTTGAATCTTACCTGTCGAGACAGCGTTGATGTATGTCATTGTGAATTCGTTTACAAAGGGAGACGTGTTCGAAATTTGGATAAGAAACTTTCATTTGTTTTGGTTGTTTGGAGAGTGCTACAATGCTTTGGCTGGGGTTTGGAGGAGGCGAGGCAGAAGGGAAGACGGGAGAGAGAGAAAGTTAAGTTTTATATTTTTAGTATTTTTATTTCTTTTCTTTCTCTATGTTTGTATTTATTTTTATTTTGAATTTTAAAGCCACGTGGCATATAGTTAACTAAAATATGAAGCCCACAAAGATCACGTCATCAAACTAACGGAAAATCTCACGGTGTTAGTATGGAGGGATCAATGATCTACATTTTATTAAATTCAAGAACCAAATCTAATGAATTTTAAGTTTAAGGACCAAAACTACATTTCGATCATAATTCAGGACCATTCCTCCAATTTCCTCTAATCCGGCTATAACTCTATTTAGATCCAAAATTGGACTATTTTGTCCAAATTTCCCGTGTAAGATCCCTCATAAACCCTTGAAACGCCCCGAACCCCAATTCCAAGAAAATGGAGAAAACCTTCACACTCCTTCATACAATTGTCACTGCAACTGTCTTCTCTGCTGTTTCCGGATGGTACGGATTCATGTTCGGAAGAGAATCTGCTCGCAAAGAACTCGGAAGTTTGATCGAAGACCTTCGCCGCCAGAATCCCAACTCCGATCCGCCACATTCACCTCCGCCTCCACATGCTTGAAGTTGAATTGATTTGGGGTAATTCTACTCTCCCACTCTCCAAATTTATCTTGTATTCAATTTTTTAATTGGGATAAGTTAACTGTTGTTTTTTTGTTTGCAAGTAATTGTGGGTTACTGATTCTGCAGAATGCCATGAATTTGTGTTTCCGTTTCGTGTCTAAAGATTGTAATTGATTTTGGAGTGAGGAAGGTACTGGAATTCAAAATTTAACAGTTGCATAATATCTTCATCAAAAAAGAAGAAGAAGCTAATATATGATATGAAAAATCCTCTGACCAGCAGGCTATGATTCACTGTTTTTCCTTGAACTATGGCGTACTTATTACGTACCTAACGTTGTGGTGACTGAACCGAAAAAAAAGATAGGATGCTTGTGATATTCCTGTCAAAGTACATTTTCCAACAGTTTTGTTTATAGTAATGCTGATAAAATGCCAAGAACAAAGCACTGGAGTATGATTGCAATAGGGTTACTCATCAATATGCTTCATCGTTAAAGGTTTCTGATGGTATCTTGGAGGATGAACATGAATCGGAACCATATGTTCTTATTTCAGTATTGGAAGTTATTAAGGGAATGATGTATCTGTTCTGTGCCTTTTCTTTGACAACCACATCTTGCTTTAATAGTCTTCTTACTCCTTATTAGAATTGTGTTGAAACCTAAACGTTCTTTGTCATATGTGTTAATTGGTCTTTTATGGTTCTTATATTGTTTTCTCAGTGTTCATCTATATAATAAATATGGTTGAATACTTGAATAGCTGTGATGTTTGTCCGAAACACAAGTTTAATTATTGAATAATGTATCAATTATAGAACTTAATTTAGGTTGTGACATGTTCAGGTGCTTGGATCAAGGTTGATGGCATCAAGTGGGCAGTGAGAAAAACCACCTTCATCCATATAGCTTGGGACTGAGAAAAGAAATGTCTTCAGGGCTTTCACAAAACGCTCTTCTGTGGGGGGCATATTTGACCATGTTCTGAAGTCTTCTAACATTATCCTTGATGGTGGAATGTGCCGTCTTGTAGAGTTCAAATAACATTCGATCCTTTTGTATGTTGTGAGATAGTTGTTGAAGTATGAATGAATTTGGATTGTTCTGTTTTCGAAGCCGTTTGTTTTACCTTTATCATTAATGAAACTTGTTTTTCTTGTCAAAAGCAAGAAATTGTTACGGTTCATGCTATTTGTCCTCGAATTCGAATTAATGGAAAGCATTCTCTGCATTAACAAGGCAGTCTTACTTGGTTTTGATCAGACTTTGGCTAACCATCGTCATGATTTACTTATGAACGTTGTTCTTTGCATTTTTGATGCAGTGTTTCCTTTAGTTTCATCAAAAGCTAAAATCAAGTTGCCCCAACGACCTCTCTAGCAGACAAATTGGCTTCCACATATTGTTCTGGCAGTCAAACCGAGTGGCTAAGTGATTGGGGTATGTAATATGTTTCTCATCCCTGTTACTCTTGGTTTGGTTGTGTTGTCAATAGTTTTCAGCTAATATGTAAATAACAAAAGAAGAGTACAATAAATCATTTGAACGGAGAAATACAGGTATATTGAGGCATTAAGCAAAGAACAAACAGAGAAATTGAAGAACATTATGTCGAAGTACTTGGATGTTGCATACTATTATTTAACAAACCGGACTTACAACCTTTTCAAAAGAGTCAGCCAAACATCCTCTAAACTAAATTTATGAATACCTGGAAAGGATTGAATGAACATCAACTGCCATTCATGTAGCGGATACATATACAATTAATTTTTCTTTAACCATCTTACATCTCAGTGATGCAAATTATGGTGTTTGCATATAATTATACTTTTGTTTTCATTTTTTATATTACAGTAATTAAACTATACTCTGTTTGTACTAGAAGCTGCACATAAATAATTTCTAACATCTCTACACGAGAAGAGTTTCTTTTGTTTTCTCAACTTTCTTTTCTTTGATAAAACGAACAAAGAGGTCACTTCCGGTGGAGTCACACTCTGATAGACGTCTGTTCCGGCCACCTTCTGCCATGCTCCTCACAAATTCAACCATGTTCCTCCAGTTATCCCCATCGAACAATCTCTTGTTCATTCGGAGATATGTAAATGCACTTAAGGCATTACCGGAATCTGATCTGCTTGTTGCTAAAACTTGTGCAAACGCACCAGTGTCATACCTCTCCAGTGCATTCTCTCCTGCTAGGTCAATTCCAGCTCTCTTGGTTGCCATCTTTACCTGCCTCACTAGACCTTCTGGTGAGCAATTTGCATGTTCTGGCTGTTCTCTATCTTTCATTTCCATGCAGGTGAAGTTTAATACAACCATGTTTTTGCTGAACATTTTGGCAGTTGGTAGGTAACCATCTCTGTGTCTAGTGTTGTAGTAGCCCGCAGTTAATTCAGCCGCATGTGATCTTGATCTGTAGTGCCAGTGAATCCCAGCAATCTTTCCAGATAATTTAGCTCCAGATCCTTGGAATACCCCTTTTGCAGCTGACAGTATTCTATCTCCGTGTCTTAGTAGCTTTCCGGAGTACCATTCAAGGAAGAACTGTCCATACTCAGTGTTCCAAGTTCCATCTCTTTTGAAAAATCCTGTGTCTTCAGGAAATTGATTGTAGTGGCCGGAATCATGTGGTCCACTTCTTCCCCAATCTCTCTTCCCCAGTGCCTCTGCTGATGCTTCCAGGGAAGCTCTCATGTACTGCATGTCATAAAAGCATGTTTAGGAATAATGAATATGGCAGAAATTGTATCGAGTTATTATGTAGTTCCAATTCCGTTTAAGGTCATTTTAATTGGTCAAAAGTAAGGAAAAATGCTTATGTTCACTGGAATTACCTTGTCATAGCATTGGAATTCTCCAATTCCAGGAAACCTCCAAGTTCCGTTGCTTTCTGGATAAGCTGGATATCTGAGCTCCCCACAAGGACCCATGCCTACTTGAATTTCCTATAGAAGTAATTGAAATTGAGTTTCTGACCTTTAAACAAGCCCCTTGTAAACTTCAAAATGACCTTAAGTTGAGACGAACGTTAACATTTGTTGCCCTAGACCAAATTAGTTTTGTGCTGTTTGATAATCTTTTTTATTGTTCTTGCGAAACACTGGCAAAGATCTTTTTATATCTAGTTTTTTTTTTTTGAACTTTTGAATTCCTACTGCAAGAATAATAGCATAAATTAAAGTCATAACATCTTTGTTGCAGATAATTACCACAATAACATCGCCCAAGTAGTCAATGAATCTGTCGCGGAAGCTCCTCATGTAATCGGTGTAGACCTGAATGGGAGTTCTTCCTCTGAGAACAGGCAATGAATCGCATCCCAAGGATATGTACTCAGGATTCCTCCTGCCTGATTTGTCTGTGTAAACAAGGTCAGGATTCTTGCTGATTTCTTCAAGCACCCATGGAGGTAGAGGAATGCTGAAAATTCATATAATTGTGGTTTAGTGGATCAGTGCATAAATCCACACTAGGTGGAGATAGATTAAAAACATGACTAATAAATACACAGAATTTCTCGAGTCCTAAGTATTACGATGATCTAAATCTAAAAAAATTATGCAGGTTAAGACTACCATGTTTAGGAGTTCTTATGTAGAAAAAAGGTTTTGCCCATAAGCACTTTTTTTTAAGCATGTCAAAGGTTCTATTAAAAATCCAATTGCTTCTTGAAAAAGCGATTGGAAGTGCTTTTCCAAAGAAAGGTACTTATCTAGAAAGCACTAAAAATTGCTTTTGGTCATTCAAAAGTGCTATTAACCATCCTAAATGCACTTTCAAACATGTTTCACCTTTTACTAAATCTTATAGCATGTGTTGTAACTTGTATAAAGCTCTAGAGAGCATTAAACGTAACAGACAGCAGTTAGAACCAGCAAACACACCTGCATGAGTCTCCAACATTTCCTCCACACTGATGAAAAGACATGACGATTTGGATCTTCATGCCATGCTTTTGCACCATCTGCACAAGCTCAGCATACCCTTCCCAATTGTACTTGGAAGGTCCGTCCTTCTCCACCAATCCCCACCACGCATCCACCATAACTCCTTCAACACCTGCTTGCTTCAGGGCCATCAAACTCGCATTCATTGCTCTCGGCTTATTCAAATGCCCTCCATGACTCACCGTGTCGAGCGGGAGCATCACATACACAGGCACCTTGTTGTCAGTGCTGCTGTGAGCAGTATTTGGGAGTGCGTGGAGCAACTCTCTCCTTCCATCGGAGATAGTCATTAAGTTCTTCTCATGCAAGAGCTGTGTTTCTTGGATTGAACTCTTTGCCCGGAGACGGCATGATGGCTTGATTTGTGCAAAGCATATCGTGCCGGGGGAGTCATCGGAGGTTTTCAGGCCCTTGTGGTCTTTAAGATTGATGAACGAAGCTGAAGAACGGAGAGTTAACGTCATTTAATTGCTGAAAATGTGTTTTGTGTTGTGTTTTGAAGGGAAGGGAAGGGAAGGGAAGGGAAGGGTAAGGTAGGGAGAGGAGAAAAAAGTGATGAGAATGGATGAAGGGGTTGCTTCCTTATTTATAAAAATGACTTCCTCTTTGGCCGGTTTGGCGGGCTCCAGTTGAAAGGGGAAAAAGTGCAAAAGATCAAAGTAGGTCAGCTCATATTTTATTTTTATTTTATTTTGTTGGTCTGACTCAGCTCACTTTTTCAAAGTCGTTTTCTCTCTCTACGTGTTTACACCTCTTCCATTCTTGCAATTTCCAGGAAAATGTGAATTTTTATTTTGTTACAAGGAGCTTTTGAATTTGTATTTTGGTTGACAAGGCATAAACCCGAAAGAAAAAGAAAGATTACTTAAGAATACCATGAGGTCATGAGAGACTAGCTATATCTGCAACTAGCAATTGACGACAAGGACTTTTGAATTTAATTATAGTACAGGTGAAAATTTTAAAATTAATTAAAAAAAATTGAACCACAAAATTCTAATGGTTTTGTTTCTCCTTTGTTTTTGGGACTGCCTTGACTTAGGACTTAGGAATGATTTTCAGGGGTATATTAGTCATAAGATTTGGATAGTTTATTTAGAATGCTTAACACACTTGAAGCTGCAATCAACACACTTGAAGCAGCAACCATGCATGCATGCATGCATCTTGGTTGGATATTCTTATATGATTAAAATATCTTGAGCTAGCTCTTGTGAAAAATTGGAATATCTTGAGCTCTTCTCTAAAGATGAAAATATCTTCAACTGATGATTCATGCCTTGTGATATCTTTAGACCAAAAACCATATTAACCTGTCATTTTCCATGTTTTTATCTAAGTTTGTTCATTTATCCTTAAACCCGCGTGAAGTGATTGAATTGAATCTTTTGTTTCGGTGGCTACTTAGCTCAGATAAAATGGTGACCAGATAGTATATACTTACTGTAATTTAAACTTGGTCTAGCTAGAGGAATTATATTCAGTTTTTAAATTGATTCACTCGATCGTCTCTTGATCTTTGTTTTAGGAATTTTGCAGGTGATTTGAGTTTTACTTTATTTTGGTTATGGTCCATTGTATCTAGCCAGTACAGTGCAATAGTAGGTTTATCTTTCTATTCACCATAACCTTGGCTTTAGGGATCGGTTATCAGATGACGCTATTAGGGATCCCAAAAATGTTTAAGAAACTTGCTTGAGGACGTCAAACTGTTTATGAACTGCTGTATATCATTGGTTGTACATGTTTTAACGCTTTTATTGTTCGTTAATAATGAAATGTAGCTAGGTACCACTCTGCAAGTTATCTAGATTGTAATTGCTAGCATACGAGAATATCTTCAGGTACGTTATTCTTCTTTTTATTTTCGAATGTTTGTTTATTTGCTTGGAGTGGTTTATCAATTGACTGAGACCATAAAAATTTCTCTGTGAAAAACGAAACGAAATGTAGGACCTATATCTATAGTTTGTTGCAATGTTTTAAAAAAACTAGCCTCGGGCCGCGCCTAGGGCTGGGCGGTGAGGCTAACGCCTCTGTTTTGCTGGAGTGGGCGAAAGGCTTCATCGGAGACGCCTAGGCGGCGGAGGCACGCCTCAAGGTGTCTCAGGCGCCTTGTCTGCCCTTTTTTTTTTTTTTTTTTTAAAAAACCACCCAAACCCAAAACGACGCCGTTTGGGTAAGGGTTTTCAGTTTCAAAATACAGATTCGACCACTACCTTCGATCGTATATGTTGTGTACTGTGTACATAAAAATAATTAAAAGGATGATGTTGCCTTTTATTTATATGAATGATTGATATCTTTGTTTGTATTTTGATTTATATGAAGAGGATTTGGATGAATGATTGTTTTCTTTGTTTGTATTACCTTTTGAATGATGAATTTGGATGATATTACCTTTGAATGATGAATTTAGATGATATTATCTTTTGAATGACTATGAATTTGAATGAAAAATTGAGAATGGAAGTTTATTTTACATAGTATTATTTTTTATACAATTATATGTATAATATATAAAACATATATATATATATATATATATATATAAATAATAATCCCGTGAGGCTTCGCCTCACGCTTTTAATACATTGGTTTGTGGTGATGAGCATTGGGTGGTTTTGTTTTGAACAGTGCACAAACAAGCTAGCTGGGGTTGTCTTTGGTCTATGGATGCTCTCTCTCTCTCTCACACATACACACACACAGACGACACTGCATTTTTGTGAATCAGAAAATATCTCAAGAATTACAAATTTTCTTGGCTTTGGTTGATTTAGGATAAGATAGAAGGTAGTAGTGCTGGAATAGCATTACCAATTTAGCATGTGGTTCTAACAAAGTCTTTATGCCCCCAAGTATGAACTATTCAAACTTAACTGCTTCAATGACTCGGCATTTGTTTTCTTCGTTTTTATATTCGTTTAATTGACTGATTCTCCATGGATTGGCATTTTTTGCCTTTTTTTTTTATTGTTTGTGAGAAAGTTTTGGCAGTCCATGTGCGCCTTCCTCTCACAATCGCATCCAGGGCCGGCCATGTACAAAGGGTCACAGATCAGAGAGTTCTAGAGCCCCACTTCTAAGGCTCTCTCTTAGGACTACCAAATTATCAAGCTCGGCCTTGATCGCATCATCTGTACTAATCACGCAATGAGTAGATGTGAGGAGGGGTATACGGCCATTCCCATCCTAGTCGCACCACCAGCAACACCGTAATAGAAAACGTGAGAGGGAGATACGTTTGAAATTAACCAAATTAATCTATAAATGTTGCATGTTTTTTCATATATCGACCTAAGTTTTGCTGAGAAAAATTCACCATCCTATTGATAATAAATCTGCAGTGCTCCAAACATTTTGGGCACCACTTTGCTTTCTTCATGCTTAGTGGTTTAATTGGCTTGTTAAATAGACAAGTGGAAGAATTATTTTGAAAGTAACTTATGTATAAAATCCAACCTCATCTTCACAAATAATTGCTCTCAATGGTACATATAAAGACGATATTAATTTACAAAAACGCGGATTAGACGATGCTAATTAGGATGGAGAAATGCTATGCTAAGAACATATTTTGAAAAGAAAAAAAAAAGTACGATATTTATTAAAATGACAAAAAACATTCAATGAAACTCTTAGATCTTGATGTTGATTTATTGGTCCTTTTGAGGCAAGTAATGATTTGGAGTGGGCGTGTGGTTAATAGGTGGACCATAAGTATTCGTGTGGAGGTTATGGAAACCTTATCTCTTCGACTTTCTCGGTCACTCTCATATCTGAGTCACATTCTTTCGTAATTATTCTTTTACTTTTTAAAATTAAAAATAATTATTATAAAAGAAAAATCTGGTGACAAACCAAGAAAACCTTGTGTTGCAGACGTGTAGCCGACGTGGCAAAAATATTGCCACTACACGTGAACCAAAATAAAACAAGGAAGAACTCGAATAATTAAAGTCGGAGATTATGCAACCAGTTAATGCTTTCCGAAATGGGACAATGTAATATGATTAGGGTTGGACGTGAGACGGTTATCGTATCAAGATTTCTGTATTAAATTTTTGATATGATAAAATCTATTAGTATTATCGTACCAAATTTCGGTATGATAAAATATTCTACTAACTTGATATGGCAATGTGAATATCAAATTTTTTGTACTCATATTGTAATAATTCTATATGCCTAGGCGGTCTTAGTGTGCAATTGTAAAACAAATCGTTGTGCTATGTCGAAAATTGAAATTTTTGGTTGAGAATTGTGTTTGATTTTCAGAAATTGGTACAAATCACTGTTTAAAAGCTAGATTAATGGATAGTGGTGGTGAGCCATGGTGGCGAAGGGGAAAGTGCAGAGAGGAAAGGTTGGAGAAAGGGAGATGGCGAGAGATTCAGGTGAAGGTGGTGAGCCACAATTTTTTGTATTTTATTTTGTTTTTAAAACATTATTCTTTTAGTTTTATTTTGTTTCTAAAACCTTAACTTTTTTACTTTATTTTGGATATATGTCAATAAAAAGAAAAACTAATAAAAATAGTATAATACCCTTCCATGCATAATTGAAAGAAA